TTTGGATGCAAGTATATGATGGCATTGTTAAAACTCTATCCAAGCATCATTTACAACTATGGGGTCAGTTTTGCAGACTTCTGTAATGGTCCCCATTATGATTAGAACTTATTCATGTATAGATTTTATAATTAAGCATTTGGCAGTTCCTCTAATAATAAGGTCAAATAAGTGCTAAATTAAAGATATCCTGATAAAACTTGCAGTATATCTGTGTCAGTGCTGTGTCGTTAGGTCACTGTGACTTTGACATTTGCAAAATTTTTAGGAATATCTTGTTGTGCTGTAACTTTTAAACCATTAAAGGGGATACGCATATTTTTGTTCACAAAAACAAATCTTAAGTAGTTGTGTTACTTAATTTTTAGCTCACCTGGTCCGAAGGACCATGGTGAGCTTATGCCATACCGCAGCGTCAGTCGTCCGTCCGTCGTCCGTCCGTCAACTTTTCCTTTAAAACGCTACTAGTCATGAACGACTGAGCAGAAGCAGAATTTGGTCAGAAGCCTCCATGTGGGAAGGGGAACAAATTTTGTATAAATGATGGGTGTGGCCCCCCTTGTGGCTGAGGGGCGGGGCCCAATAGGGGAAATATAGCAAATTCTTTAAAATCCTTCTTCTTCTGTGGGAATGAAAGGATTTGTTCCATATATGGTCTGAAGCATCCTTGGGTAAAGGGGGAACAATTTTGTATAAACCGTGGGTCTGGCCCACTAGGGGCCTGAGGGGTGAGGCCAAATAGGGGAAACATAGCAAACTCTAAAAATCCTTCTTCTTCTGTAGGAATAAAAGGATTTGTTCCATATTTAGTCTGAAGCATTCTTGGGTAAAGGGGAACCAATTTTGTATAAACCGTGGGTCTGGCCCCCTAGGGGCCTGAGGGGCGGGGGCCCAATAGGGGAAACTTAGCAAAATATTCTTTAAAATCCTTCTTCTTCTGTAAGAATGAAAGGATTTGGTTTATATTTGGTCTGAAGCATTCTTGGGTGAAGGGGAACCAATTTTGTATAAATGGTGGGTCTGGTCCCCCTGGGGGCTGAGGGGCCGGGCCCAACAGGGGAAATATAACAAATTTTTAAAATCCTTCTTCTTCTGTGGGAATGAAAGGATTTGGTCCATAATTGGTGTGGAGCATCCTTGAGTAAAGGGGAACCAATTTTGTATAAACGGTGGGAGTGGCCCCTCTGGGACCTGAGGGGCGGGGCCCAATAGGGGAAATATAGGTAAAACCTTTATAACCCTTTATCTACCATAGGGATTAAGGGATATTATTCTAATTTAGTCTGGAGCATCCTTAGGCCAAGTTGACTCAATTTTGTATAAGCAGTGGGTGTGGTCTCCCAGGGGTCAGAAGGGCGGAGCACAATAAGAGGAATAGAGGTAAAACCTTTAAAATCCTTATCCGACCATCAGGATTAAGGGATTTTATCCTTATTTCGTCTGGAGCATCCTTGGGAAACTCAATTTTGTATAATTGGTGGGTATGACCCACCCCTAGGGGCAGAGGGATGGGGCTCTGTTTAGAGTTTGTTCTCGCTCTATCTCAAGTGCTGGATGGGTCTTTCTGAAATTTTATATGTAATTACAGCACCTACCATGGAGTGCTATATCTTTAATTCATACCAACTATTTTAAACATATTCAGGTGAGCAATACAGGCCCATTGGGTCTCTTGTTAGAAGTTACAATGGTTAGGAATTTGAAGTGGTCAAATCAACCTAATGTGTCATACATGAGACTTATTGTAATGGTCAAGGGATGGACAATACATACCGTTAGTGTATATGTATTATAAGTAATGGTCAAGGGATGGACAATTCATACCGTTAGTGTATATGTATTGTAAATAATGGTCACGGGATGGACAATACATACCGTTAGTGTATATGTATTGTAAGTAATGGTATGTATTGTCCATCCCTTGACCATTACGTACAATACATATACTCTACTGGTATGTATTGTCCATCCGTTGACCATTACTTACAATAGATATACGCTAACGGTATGTATTGTCCATCCCCTGACCATTATTTACAATACATATACACTAAAGGTATGTATTGTCCATCCCCTGACCATTATTTACAATACATATACACTAACGGGATGAATTGTCCATCCCTTGACCATTACTTATAATACATATACACTAACGGAATGTATTGTCCATCCCGTGACCATTATTTACAATACATATACACTAACGGAATGTATTGTCCATCCCGTGACCATTATTTAGAATACATATACACTAACGGTATGTCTTGTCCATCCCTTGACCATTACTTATAATACATATACGCTAACGGTATGTATTGTCCATCCCGTGACCATTACTTACAATACATATACACTAAGGGTATGTATTGTCCATCCCGTGACCATTACTTACAATACATATACACTAATGGTATGTATTGTCCATCCCTTGACCATTGCTTACAATACATATACACTAACGATATGTATTGTCCATCCCTTGACCATTACTTATAATACATATACACTAACGGAATGTATTGTCCATCCCGTGACCATTACTTACAATACATATATACTAACGGTATGTATTGTCCATCCATTGACCATTACTTACAATACATACCGTTAGTGTATATGAATTGTAAGTAATGGTCAAGGGATGAACAATACATACCGTTAGTGTATATCTATTGTAAGTAATGGTCAACGGATGGACAATACATACCAGTAGAGTATATGTATTGTACGTAATGGTCAAGGGATGGACAATACATACCGTTAGTGTATATCTATTGTAAGTAATGGTCAAGGGATGGACAATACATACCAGTAGTGTATATGTATTGTACGTAATGGTCAAGGGATGGAGAATACATACCGTTAGTGTATGTGTATTGTACGTAATGGTCAAGGGATGGACAATACATACCGGTAGTGTATATCTATTGTAAGTAATGGTCAAGGGAAAGACAATACATACCAGTAGTGTATATGTACTGCACGTAATGGTCAAGGGATGGAGAATACATACCGTTAGTGTATATCTATTGTAAGTAATGGTCAAGGGATGGACAATACATACCAGTAGTGTATATGTACTGCACGTAATGGTCAAGGGATGGACAATCAGTTGATAAATTCCATATTAAATGGTCAGAGGATGGACATCTAAGCAGTCAACTTAAATACACATCTATGGTTTTTAGCTCACCTGGTCCAAAGGACCAAGGTGAGCTTATGCCATACCGTGGCGTCCGTCGTCCGTCCGTCCGTCCGTCCGTCGTCCGTTGTCCGTCCGTCAACAATTTCTTTTAACGACTTCTTCTTCCTAACCACTGATTGGAATTTTACTAAATTTGACTGGAAGCATCCTTACGTGGTGGGGAATCAAAATTGTACAAATGGTGGGGTTGACCCCCCAGGGGGCTGAGGGGCGGGGCAAAAAGGGGGCAATTTGGCTATATTGCTTTAAGCGACTTCTTCTCTGGAACTAAGAGATGGATATCAACCATATTTG